TGTCAGAGCGATCATGCAGACTGCCCCTGTCCAGCTGAAGGTACGGGAACAGCGTCTGCGATGGTATGGGCACGTGCTAAGGAGGCCACAGGATCATCCGATAAGAACAGCGATGGACTTCGAAGTGCAAGGCAAGCGACCGCGAGGAGCCCCAAAGAAGAGGTGGAGAGACGTCATCAAGAAGGACCTCACTGAAGTCAGGGCCACAGCAGAAGATGCCCTGGATAGAACAACATGGCGACGGCTGACAAAGACAGCGGACCCTGCGACTGCGTGGGAATAACGCTAGGGACGTCGATAGGTCTTGATCTTTTGGACCAGATAAATTCAGTGACTAATACTGAAGTCAGCTCGCTATAATTCGGAGCGAATAATTGATTTTATTCATTTCGCCTTTTATTATATCCACCTTTTTGAAGACTGGTGTGACGAACGGGGTTTTTCTCTCTTATTTTAGCGCTACAGAGGTTTTGTACATACTTCACATATCGACTTCCGATTTGTCAGTCGGAAATCGGAATTTTCTCACACCGTTAAAGAATGGTAGAGATTTAGCTCGACCACAAAGAGGCTTGTCACACTTTACCACGAACATTATATCAGTTCCATGACATAGACAGAACATTGGTCTCCCCGGCATCTTGCACATTTCTTTTCTGTAACTTTTGGACCCGTTATCACTACTGCATCTCTTCTAGGTTTATGATCGATAAATATGTGCAAGATGTCGTCAAAACTGGTTCTAGAGAAGAAAATCGATATGTATGTACTATGTATATGTATGTATTATCACAACCGAAAAGAATCATCGCGATGTAGAGATACTATTTGTAGTTGTCAGCCAGTTTTGGGATTAACGATCACCGTCCACTGCACCGATGCTGTCGTCCGGGTCAGAAGGTGGGTCTTCTGCGCAGTCCTCTTGGTCCAACACCAGCTCCTGAAAAGGATGAAATATAATAATATCAGAAATAGTACTGTCAGATCATCTTGAAATATTATAGAAAATCGGTGCATCTTGAAATATATATAGAAAAGCTCGAACACCACATTTATGAAGATTTGCACAGGCGCAAACAGCGTTATCACAGGGAATCGATAGTCTCGTTAGCCAGTGGCCGCGCGTCACCTCTCAAAAGAACTCCATTCCGTAACAAGCTGTAAATCTCCTACGACTACTCTGTAGGTAAGATTGGATGTCTGCAAGAAAGAGATCGTGCTTAGCGGGTTGAATGTGCGTCGCCGTCATTAGGATCTAGACTTGGAAACGCCCATGAGGCCAGGAACCATCCCAGAATGGTTTTTGGTGGAAGGTGGGGGAGCAGGGTTTTTACCATGAACAGTTTTGGGGGAGAATTAAAGAACCTTTTCATAGTTTGGCTTTTGGAGAGGGTCGGTTCATAAACTTTGGCCTCTGGAGGAGGGAGGGGGAGGGTCGTATTTTCAGATTTCCCTCGACAGTTCGCTTGACCCTGGACCCCACCTCCTCAGACACATTCTTTATAAAGCGGTAACTTTCATCGGAGATTAAGGACGAAGTCGCCGAAACGTTAGGCCAATAAGCTGTCAAGATCAACATAGCTGTACCATAAAATCACTATTGAGTTCGATGCGGGCAGGGCTGTTGAATAAACACCTATGAAACGGGAATTTTGTAATGATGAATGAACAACTCACATCTTGTGGGATTTCTTGGAAGTCAGACAGGAAGAATGCTGGAAGTGATGTTCTAAAAAATGAAACTTTTCGATACTTCCTGCACAACTGAAGCTGCATTTAAGGCTTGTAACAAATCTTTAAGATTGTGGGAATCGGTGGATAGCCCAAGAAAATATCATGCTCGCACCGCTCGGCGTTTGAACTCCTTTCGAGAGAATGAAAACTTGAAAGCATCAGGGAGTCATTCTTTTTCGAATTCACCGGTACATAAGTACCCTCCCTTTCAAAAACGAGAAAGTGTCGGGTGCAGACCATACACCACAACTGACGACGGCCTCCAAGTAAATCTGGTTAGTAGTGGTTCATAGTGATAGCTGATTTTGGTAAATGATAGTTGTAATTAGTGACAACTGATAGAATACAACTGCAACAGGCTAATCATTTCATTGGCAGAAAACATTTACATTTTGTGAAGGCCGTCGTCACTTGTGGTGTATGGTCTGCACCCGACGCTTTCTCGTTTTTTGAAGGGATTGCTGATTATTTTTTGCCGCAGTGGGAATGGTGTAGCGGCAAGGGGCGCCGCTTACTTCGCGCATGTTACGTGGTCAATTTGGATCGTACACCGTCCAAGCCAACCCACACCAGGTTTCCCTTAAACGGATAAGGAAATGTCTAGGAGGATGAGAACACCAAATTTTCCATTCACTAGTCTCCACAATTCATTGTGTGGGTCAAATCGCATTTAAAAAGCCACCACGATTGAGATTAGAGATCGAATGCATGGCGCATCCCAAAAGCGAGGAACAACGCCAAATGATTTATGCTTTATCTCTTTCTTGCCGAATCTTCAAGTCCTCTAGAATTCTCATTGGGTGGAGTCCACTTCTGCTGATTGATCATCCCCTTTTATTCACCACCTATTGAGGTTCACTAATTCGCTTCCTACAAATTTGAGAGTTAAAATAACTTGACATTTATAAATGGATCGATAGATACGTAGATCACATACCTTTTTGATGCGAATAATGATGGCTGCGGAACTAAATCATCATGATTTGTCGTCGGTCTACGGTAGGGATGAAATGTCGTGCGCGACGACGCTACGGTTGCAACGCGGCAGCATGGAGTTGCTTGCTGAAAAAAGGATGTCGCTTGTTCATTTACTTGGTTGTTTAAAGTTGACCTAAATGGTTAAATCCCAGCCAGTAATGTAAACATTCAGGCACTAATGAAAATGTTCACATTCGATGTACTTAGAAGTAAAGGAAATAC